AGATGATTTCAGAAAAACTTGATAAAGTTTACATGAACTGATGCAAAGTGAAGTGAGCAGAACCAGGAGAACGTTGTATACAGTAACAGCAATATTGTACAATGATCAATTGTAAAAGACTTCGTTATTCTCTTAGCTTTTCTCAATAACAGAATTCTGAAGGATTTATGATGAAAAATGCTATCTACCTTCAAAGAAGTGATGGTGTCTAAATGTAGGTCAAAGTATACTATTTTTTACTTTTTTTATTTTTCTCACGTGTGGTGGCTTTTTTTTTTGGTCTGTATTTTCTTTCACAACATGAGTAATATGGAAATGTTTTGTATGACTCCACATGTATAATCTACATCAAAATGGTTACTGTCTCAGGAAGGGGGGAGGAGAGGGAGAGAATTTGGAACTCAAAATATTTTAAAATGAGCATTTAAAATTATTTTTACATGTGATTGGGGAAAAAACAAAATAATATAACATAAATTGTGCATCCTCCCCTCAATTATGGCACAGGCAATGAATATCTTTGTTTCCTTGAACCAAATATATCTATTTCCTCAACTGTTAATATTTGAATTAGCTACATCACAGAGTTGAGAAAATAACTTTGTAAACCTCAGAAAGGCACACTAGTAAGAGTATCTCTGAAGAGATAAAATCCACTGTTCTAACTATTAGGGGATTTACTTTTCCTTCCTGCACAAGTAACTATTTTCAAAGATTGTTCATGGCATGCTACTCTGATAGTCCCATTATTTTGTACCAGAGACCTATTACAGATTACTACTGTCATTTGACACTTAACATTTTAATATACAAGAAGCATTTTGAAACAAACTCTTGGATCAGGTTCTCTTTAATGCAACTCAGCATATGTTGACAATTACCCTAATTTTTACACAGCATATTTTTCCTTCTAAAAATGTAAATAATTTTTTAAACAAAACCATTCAGAAAGATTTTTGCAAAAGGGATCTAACATTATTAAAACCACTATTATTATTACTAAAAATAATAATTAGGCACCCATTTCCCAAGTACAGTGCTAGGCATACAGGATACTAAAATAAAACATCAAAAACGGTCCCTTCTCAATTTACAAATATATACAAAATAATGCAACAGGGCAGCTAGGTGGCGCAGTGGACAGAGCACCTGCCCTGGAGCCCCGAGGACCTGCGTTCAAATCCCCTCTCAGACACATTACATTTCCTAGCTGTGTGACTCTGGGCAGGTCATTTAACTCCAATAGCCTCGCCAATACATAAATAAATACGACAAAAGTGGGGGAGGGGTGTTAAGTAAAAGCTTAAAGAAAGAGCATAAAGTAAAGCAGTGATTAAAGTCAGAGATGAGATGTGAGTGGCAATGTAGGAACGGTGGAACAGTTGGCAAGAAGTCTCTGAGAGTGGAGAGGGAATGACTTTAAGAAAATCAAGAAGGCCAGTTTGGCTTGGCTTGACTACAGAGTGTGAAGACTAATGCACTCTGTAAAGGATGGCTGGAGTTGGATTATAAAGGATTTTAAATGCTGATCAGATTTACTTTTGTTCAGGAAGCAAAAGGTAGCCACTGGAACTTTTAAAGCATAAGTGATGTGGTCAGATCCGTGCTTTAGGAATATCATTTTAGCAGCTTTGCAAAGGATGGATAGAAGAGTTGAGAAAGACTGGAGCCACTAATTCAGGTGAGATAATGACGGCCTCAACTAGGGCAGAGGAAGGGATGGACGACATATATGGAAGCAAAATCAACACAATTTGGTAACTGATTGGATATGGGAAGTGAGGAGTCAAGGATGATCCAAAGTTGATATCTATGGGATACTTAGGTGGAGATGTCCAGCAGACATCTGGGGATGTAAGACTGGAGCTTAAGAGAAAGATTTAAGAAAACCTACTTTTTTAGTTTTATATCGATGAGCCTGTCTCTTCAGACCTATCAAAACTACTGCCTTCAAAATGATTCAAACGTGAATTTTAAAATTAATTTATAGAAACTTATTGAGATTTTAGGAAAAACAAAATAAAAACAACAGAGTAAGATTGGTAAAGTGGTCAGCAAAATGGTAAAAGATACTATTCACCTTGCAAAGCATTTTATGACCCGATGAAAAAAAAAACTGTCTAAAAGAGACTATCAAAATTATTAACCCAAAGCTTTCAAATAAGTCATCAAGTTATCATTAGCTCCTCCCCTACAGAAAGAGATCCAATCAGGAAAAATAATGGGAATTTTCTTGATGGCCAAGAACCTTAGCTTTATCCCTCCTTCCCCAGCCTTAGCACAGTTCTGTGGAACACTTAAGTGTTTAGAAAAAGCCAATAGGTGCTAAGCATTTGTTCACATGACTTAAACACAAAGTTATTAAAATATAAAAGATTAAATACTGTTTTTCAAAGGACTATAGGCTCCTATAAAATGTTCTTATAAAAAGCAAATGAGAATTTAGCAGGAAATACTATATACATAGTACAAGGCAATGTATTAGGTTTTGGAATATAGTGACAACCTATGCTCTCAAAAAGCTTGTAATTTGAAGTGGGGAGCAGCAAACACAGGAATACACTATACATCAACACTGACATATATACACACAAACACACACATACACTGACACATATATATGTGTATATATATGTGTATACATATATGTATATATATGTATACACATGCACACATAAATATACACTCATTCACACACAAACATGAATAACAAAAGAAATAAATACCAAAAAAGAGATCCCAAGTCAGAGCACTATGAGAAAAGGAGGGAAATATTACTTACATCTGAAGTGAACTGGGGTGAAGAGAGTGTGCATTCCAGGCACAAGCTACAACTTGGAGAATAAATACGGGGATAGAGCTCAGAATATTTCTTATTCTGACATTTAAATAACTTTTTATCTACGAGCCAAAGTATTAAAAGGAAACCACAGATTTACAGCTCCTAAGTTTAAAGAGGTGGAACTATACCTGAGCAATATTTCTTACAACTTGTTTTAAAATCAAAAGATTATGTTAGGTTTTTTTTTTCCTGCACTAGGATGAATGGACAAACCACCTCAGCAAGTACAGAACCTATACTGTAAAGCCCTACTTTCAATTAAAAGTTATCCTAGTGCTACTGAATTAGGGGGTCAAGAACCAGTACACATTTCTAAGACAAACTGGAATTCCAATACAAATTCAAATTCAATCCCATAAACTAGCAGTTTGCTACCTCATCTATTGAAGGGAACTACTCAGGTTGCATGGAAAACTTCCAAAACTGTCACCTTAGGTGACAGCTCACAGTGCAGTCTCTTAAACTGCCAATCTCAGGAGCACAAAGAACCTTTCCACATCTTTAAGAAAACAGAATTGTGCAACAAATTTTCAACCAGTTTTTGTTTAAATGTAAATTTCATATTCGACATTAATCCAAAGCTTCCTATTTAGTCAGCTGACAGGTAAGCCTTTATTTCCCTCTCTATTGAACTTTAGAATGTTCCTTCCATTCCATTCGAAGAGGATTTTATTTGGTGAATAAAGTCTGTGAAAAAAGGAATCTAACCAAAGCTCAGACTATATGTACAAAAAATTATGCTCCTCAGTGTAAACTTTATTAATAGCATCATTCAACAATATTGTAAAAAGTGCAAGTTGTGGAGCCATCTTAAAAAATATATTCAGCACAATTACCAACGTAATTTCAATAAGAATTACAAGTCATTAAGTTTATTTTCCTCAGCTAATTAGTCAAAGTGGATCCCTATTTGCACAAGGGAGGGGGGTGTTTAATGAAAAATATTAATATACCCAACGATCATGACTCACAATCTCTCAATGTTTTTACATTTTAAGTATGTCAAAGAAATAAATTCAACAAACTTTTCAAAACAACAAGCACTACTCTAAATTATGGTGCTCTTTTAAAAATAAAGAGCAAGAATATCAACAAAATAAGCTGAGAGAAGTTATAGGCTGCAGAATTTTACTTATACGAATCACTCTAAAGAGTAATGGTTTGCCAATTTTGTATTTCTTTCAATCGCAAGAAATTATCACCGAAATTTTGATACACTGTTTCACCACGACCCTTCTTGTAACTATACCAAAGAGCAATTTAATTACTCTGAAATTCAAGACTAAAATTTCTTTTAAAAGCCCAGAAAAATTCGTGGTTCAAAGTTGTTCACAGAACGCACTTTAATTCCATTTCAGCAAGTTACACACTGTAACAAGAGTTGAATTTTCTGACTAATTTTTACAAGCCCAATGACCCTCACTTCATACAGAGGAGACCCTAACTCTAGAATTTCATTTCACCTTCTGAGTTTTAACCCTGGCGTTTCTCTGAACCCTCCCTCCTCGCGCAACAAGATCAGTCCCCCTCAAATCAGCCTTCCGTACGGCCGGGCGCCCCTCGCCGGGCCTAGCCCCCCCCCAGCCTCGGCTCCCCGACCCCCGCCCCTGCCCCCCGCGCGGGCCGGACCCGGCCACTCTCCAAGCTTCCCGAGACCCAGCCGAGCGGCGCCATTTTAGGCAGAGGCGGTGGCGGCAGCCAATCCCGGCGCCGGAGCCAGGGGGCGCCGAGCCGCCCCGGTAAGGGGGACCAAGGCCCGGGCTCGAGGGAAGGGCTTTCCCCAAGTCGGACCACCCTGCTCCAGGGACTGAGGACGAGGCGTCGGGGCGATCCGGCGGATTCCGCCATGTTGCCAGCCGCGGCCTCCGCCGCAGGCCGCCCATGCCCCCTCTCTCGGCCCCGGCCAGGAGAAGGCGCGATGGGGTCCTCGGTGAAGCCTCCCTCCCTCCGCACCCCGCCCCGCCATCAGCGCATCCCCGTGGGCTAGGCCGAGGGTGCCGCCCCGGACCGAGGAGGAAGAGGAGGCGGCGGACCCTCCCCCAGCCTTCGATCCCCGCGCACAACCCAGGGGGGCCCCGGCTCATCCTCCCGGGAGAGGGGGCGGGCACCGCTGACTCAGGCCCCGGGCCCGAGGCCCCGGTCCGCCGGGCGGCCTCACCTTCTCACACAGACTCTTGACCTGGGACTCCGAGAGTTGCTTGCACTCATTGAGCTGCTCGATCCACTGGTCCAGCTCCTTGGTGAAGACCTTCTCGTCCATGATGCCGCCGCCGCCGCCGCCTCTGGGCCCCACCGGCACCCTCTCCCCGCCGCTCCGGCCGCAAGCACGCACTCACACAACTGCCACCGCCTCTCGCGGGGCCTGTGGGTGGCGGCCGGGCTCGCTACTTGGGACCGGCTCTTTGCCCGCTGACTCTCCGCGGTGCCTGGGGGCCGGCGACAGCGACTCCTCCTTTCCCTCTAGCTCCAGAGCTCAGCTTCTCTGTAATGGCGGCCGCCCGGCGTACTGACGTCAACTCCCCCGACGTGGGGAGGCGGAGGAGAGAGGAGCTGGCAGGAATTTGAAGAAGGGGTGGCGCAGCCGCAGTTTCAGTGCGGAGGGCTGCGTAGGGAGAGGGATGGAGGGTGTGGGCGCGTTGAGGCCGAGCTAGAAGGAAGAGGCACCTTAGCTTCAGGGCGGGGTCTCGGGAGGGAGGGAGTCCCGGGACTGCGCAGGCGCCGTGGTCACCGGGCCCCGAAGGAAGGTATACCCCAGTCTACCTAGGTGGGGCGAGGGCGCAGGCGCCGTCAGTGGCGCCTTCTCAGGAGGGGGCCTGGCAACGGAGCGTCGCCGGGCGTACTCTCTCTCACTCGGGACCTGGCTGCAGATTTTGTGACTGCGGGGCTTAGATTTGGTCAGGGAAAAACACACTGTATAAATGGATTCAACCCCATTCTCCCCGGACCCCAACAGTAGCCTTCCCCTTATGACATTTTGGGGCCCTGGAGGAGGGGTAGGTCGTTTGCGTTGGGAGCCTTCTCAGAGAGAAGAGGAAACCTGTAATTAGGTCACTCGTGGGCGGGAAAGACCGGTTGCACCTCTTGGGAATGTGGGGCCGGCATCCACACGAATGCTGCCCTAGCTCTGCACCGGTTGTGCTGACGGCGATCTCACCGTTGCCTCCCCAGAACCGGGAAAAAAAGGGTTTCCTTTGGAGAAGGGTTTTTTCCCTACTAGGAGCCTCTCACAGATCAGAGCTCCCTTCCCTAGGGCTGGCCCTCAAGGTGCATCGAGCATAGAGAATATTGACCTGACCTGGAAGAGACAATTTAGTCCCAACTTCTCATTTCACAGAGGAGAAAATAAGCCCATGCCACCAGGAAGAGTGACAGCCACTTTAGAACCCAAGCCTCCTGAGTTAAGCGTGCTGAGTAATTTGCTTAAGTCATTGGTCCCAAGCCCTGGCCCATTCATCTTCAAAAACATTTATGATTACCTACGTGTAGGTGCCTATGTTTGCATAAATTGCAGAGTGTACAGAAAGCATTATTGTCCTGCTGAAAAGGAATAAACCTGGACTTCTACTCTTGCTGCGAATGGAAAAATCAGTACAAGCCTAAAATAACATGGTTCCTGGAAATATAACTCTAGTTATGACAATAAGCATGACATGGTCACTATCAGAGAAGAAAGCTCACCATCCGAGGAATAAGAAGACCTGCATTGGAGGCCCCAGTCCTTAGTCAAATAACTTCCCCACCCTGGACCTCAGTCTCCTCATTTATAAAATGAGGATGTTGAAATAGGTCCCCTTAATTCAACAAACATTTATTAGGTGCCCGTACAAGCCAATGTCTTAGGTGCTAGGAATACAAAAAAAAAAAGAGAGAAAATGAAAACCAGTTCTAATAGTAGATTTTGAGCAGGAAGGAATTTCAGAGGCCATCTAGGCCAATCCTCTCATTTTACTGTTGAAGGAACTGAGACCTAGATAAGAGGCTTTCCCATGGTCACAAAGTTGTTAAGTGTCAGCTCCTCCCCACATACAACACTCCATCTCCCATCTTAGAGCCTTTGCATTGGTTGTACCCATGGCTGGCATGCTCTCCTTCCTCACCTATAGTTCTTGGAATTCCTGACTTCCTTCAAAACAGTACCACCTTCTACAGAAGATCTTTTTCCACACCTCCCCCCAACCCCCTAAGCTGCTACTGCCTTCCTCTCTAAGGTTGCCCTCTATCTACTCTGCATATATCTTCTATGGATATACCAATATATGTTCACATAGCACCCACCATTATAATATGAGTTCCTCAAAGGTAAGAATCATTTCACTGTTGTCTTTGTATACCCTACGTTCAACAGTGTCCGTAAATAGTAGGCATATTAAAGGATTGTTGATCTACAATGGCTTCATTTTATATATGAGGAAACTGAGACACACATAGGTTAGGCAATTCTCCCGAAGTCACATGAGTACCAGCGGCCAGGTTTAAACCTAGGTCTTCTGATTCTCAATTCAATACACTATACTTTTTTTGGACACTTGTTGGCTTTAATCCTTATATTCATATAGAGTATATAGACTCTTTTTTTACAAGGTCCTTTTACAAAGGACTTTCATAGACCTTATCTCATTTAATTTTCCTAATAACCCTGTAAAGGAAGCAGGGCAATGTTTATTATCCCCATTTTACAGATGAGGAAATTGAGTCCCAAATAGGGACTTCAGGGTTTGCATAATGGCACAAAACTAATTAAGTTGACTAAACTAAGATTAAAAATCTGGTCTCCTTGCATAAAGTATAGTACCCTTTCTCCTACAGGGGAGCATCAGATCTAGGCAGCAAATCAGGGTTATAATGGGGTCTCACTGCATAAATTAGATTAACATGAGTACCAAGATCCTAGACTAGGTCAGAGGAAAAATAGTCTCTGCTAGGAAACTGGAACCCACAGAAACAGCAGCTACTCATTTGCTCTGATAGAGGCCTTCTTCACCTGTTGGCTGTTAGCCCAGCAGGCCTTGTCCCACCCTGTTCTAAATGGAGAATTGTCTTTCACAACCTGCCTAACAAGGCTAACCAGCTCAGGCTCCCTAGGTCTGAAACAAGAGCTGTGGCTTCCCCTAAACACTTAATTCTGTGTTGTGGTATACTTATACCATAAACAAGATTCCCTCACCTATCCCAAAAGGCCAAAGCCTATTTACCAACCATGGAAATGGCCTATTTTGCCACAATTCTAATCCCACTTCAAGGTAGAAAGTTCTAGAATGAAAGAGAGTCAAGAAATCCAGATTGTAGTCTTGGTCATCTCATTAATTCACCTCAAATAATTCATTTCATATCTCTGAGGTGTCCTTAATTTAGTCATCTGAAAAATGAGGGAATTGGAGTAAATAATCACCAAGGTCCCTTCTGGTCTGACAATTTTATGATTCTAAGTCAAAATACCTTGCAAATTGTAATGCACCATCCTTCCCAATTTTGCTGTTACTATTGCTGTGGTTCATGTACTGTACATGGACAAGAATTGCCCAAGGATTACAAGGCATAGAGGTATTGTGATTTACCCTGGCAGAGGGAGTAACCACACCAATGAGGTTATGGGTTAATTGAAGTACTGAGGATTATTATAGAGAAGAAAGTGGTCTATCTGGTACATGGCTCAAATAAAGAACCAGAAGGATCATGGGAAAAATATCAGCCTTGACTTCAGAAAAACCTGGAAAGACTTATATGGTCTGATGCTGAGTGAAGTGAGCAGAACCAAGAGGACTCTGTACACAATAACAGCCACATTATGCAATGAATAAAATTGTTAAACTGAACCCTTCTCAGCATTATGAGGATCTAAGACATCTCTGGAGGCCTCGGGATGGAAAATGCTGTCCACATCCAAAGAAAGAACTATGGAAGTCGAATAGCTATCACTTATTTTTACCTTTTGTTGAGTTTTGTTTCATCTTTCTGATGGTTCCTCCTATTGGTTTTAATTCTTACTTACAACTTCACTAATGTGAAAATATGTTTAATGGGTATGTAAATGTAAAGCCTATAACAGATTGTGTACCGTCTTGGGGAGGGTGGGGGGTAGGAAGAGGGAGAAAAATTTTAAACTCAAAAGCATATGGAAGTGATTGTTGATAAATCAAAATAAATTAATAAAAAAAGACTGAAAAAAAAAAGAAAAATATCAGCCTGGTTTGAGGGTACCCAGTTTCTAAATATAAACAATAAAGGTAATTCATGCCTTACTCTGTGATATTAATAATAACAACGATGATGATACCTGGCATTTATATAGGTTATTAAGACTTACAAAGTGCCTTTTTTTACTATGCATTTTCTCAGTTGAGACAACTCCGTGAGATGGTAAAGCAGCAAGTGAAGTAATACTTCAGGTATTACTATCCCCATTTTACAAGGAAAATTTAGGCTTAAAAAAGTTTAAGTGTCTTGCCTAAGGTTTTATGGTTAGGAAGTATCTGAAATGGAATTTGAACCCAGGAGTTTCTGACTCTATGTGTAGCACTACTAAATGCTGTTTCCCAACGCAGAACGTTTGTGAGTATATTGGGGCCCTTCCCATCCCTCACCCTGAAAAGCACATGCAGACATTCTCTCCTTGTTTCTGGTGGGTCTTTCTAGAGTTCAGGTCTGGCTTTGTAAGTATATGCTAAAGCAGAAGAGCTGATGACACAGGGTGTCCCACCCACTTGCAGAAGTGGTGGCCTCCATCTGGTGGTCTTCCAGGTGACATGATATGATTTCAGCAAGGGACAGAAATCAGAGGAAAGCCTTTCTCTATCAAATTGAGCATAAACTCCACTACCTCGACTTGTATTGAGGCCCCTGACTGCCTTTGTTTCTCATGTCTTTCCTTCTAGCCTTGCCTTGTGAGCCTTGTGAGAACTGAAAAGTCTTAGAGGGATTGCATCAATAGCAGCTATCTTCTTCCCTGACACCTAAGCAGCAGCCTGGAGAGAACTCCTAGGCAGCAGTGAGCTAGCTAGATTCAGAGAGAGGCCACCAGAAAAATCAATGGCCTGATAATGTTAACAGAGGTGACATGTAATATGGTTAATTATCAGTCTTGCAAAAACTGTTTATGTCCTAAATTAGGCTTGAATATTAGCCTCCCAGCTGACTAAACTAGTTAAAATAAGTTAAGCTGATGAGTGCTATTTAAATTCTGTTCATGCAAGCTGCACTTCTCATATGCTTACATTGCTTCCTGTGTGGGAATAAATGAGCTGTTTTGTTCCAGATTCATATTGTACATTGGATACCTCTTTCATTTCCCCCCTTTTGGGGAAACCCTAGGCTAGAGACAAAAATAGAATTATCCCTGGAATAGCAAAGGGGGGGAGTTTGATGAGTCAGTGAATGAGAGAATGGGGAGCTTACTTGTAATAAGGGGTCAGGCTTATTTTAGCCTGGAACTCACTAGAGGACCAAATGACTAGATACAGGACTGGAACAGTGAGGGCAGGTACTGTAGCCGGAGCCAGTGTGACCTTCTCAACTCAGGTGCTTCTATGCCTTTGCATAAATGAAGCTGGTTCAATCCAACAAGAACTGAATACCTACTATGTGCTCACTATAGAAATAAAGGAATTCTTTCCTAAAATACT